ATGAAGTGATTTAGTTGGAAGAATAGTTTCTGCTTGAGCTTCTGAGTTAGTGTCTACTTTCCATACCATAAGAGTCTTATCACGTGATCCAGAGACAAGAACGTCTGGTTTAGTAGCTGCAACTGCTATAGAAGTAACGGCTCCATTATGTCCTTCAAGAGTAGATTTAAGTTCAAAGGCAAGACCAGCAGACATTGTCTTAGGGTTATTTAGTCTTTTTTAGTTTTCCTTTTTCTTTTTCATTTTTTTTATTTACTTTTTATTATAGTTTACTTTATTATACTTCTTATAAAACCATCACTTGGTAGTTCTTTTTCATTGTTTTTACTATTCTTCTTAATAACACTTTTATTTTTTCATTACAAATATCTTATTTTTATTGTCTTTCATAAGATTTTTGTCTTAATACTCAAATCTATATTATTATAGTTTTATTATAGTTTAAATTAACAAAATTGTAAAATTAAAGAACAAATCATGGATAAGTCTAAGAAGAACGTACAACCACTTGTTATAGAAAAAAATTCATTAAGACATAAATATTATCATATCCTTCGATTAAAACATTTTAAGTGTTGGAGAGTAATGACTTTGATTGCTGGTTTTATGTTAATGCTTGTAGGTGGTTCAATTTTTTCATGGAGTGCATATAATATAGATTTATGTGAACAAATGGGTTATTCTTTTACTCAATTGAACACACTATTTTCTATAGGATTATTAGGTGTTTATTTCTCACTTCTTAGTGGATTTTTATTTGACAACTTTGGCCCTCGTGGGACATTAATTTTTTCATTTATCTTTGGTACTATTGGATATTTGTTATTTGCTTTACAAGTAAGTTTCAGATTTTCTAGTGTTACTATTCTTTCATACCTATTTCTTTTTATTGCTACACAAGGATGTGGTGCATTATTCCAGACTGCTATTCAAACATCTTCCCATAATTTCCCTCGTAATATTCGTGCCACTATCATTGGAATTATAACATGTGGATTTCCATTAAGTGGTTCAATATATTCATTCATTTATACTAGTATTTTTAAAAACCTTAATGGTGGTGTCCATGACTATCTTTTCTTCCTTTGTTTAACCACATGTATTGGAAGTTTTATTGGAATGGTTATAATGTTTATTATTCCAACAGATGACCCGAATAATACTTCTTATTCACTTACATCTTCTAGTTATCCAAATAATGTTAATAATAATGAACCATTCAGTCTTTCAACTGAAGTATCAAATCAATCTTTAATAGATTCTCAAAACACAAATATATCATTAAATGAAATAGAATATCAACAAACATCAATTAAATCACAAAAAAATGTACTAACTGATAATGAGTCTCAAAATACACAAGAAACATCAATACAAGACCCAGAACTAAACACTTCTGTTCAAGAATTTCCACAGAAACAAGTAAAGAAATGTAATACTTTAAAAGTTTTTCTTCAATTAGATTTCTATATATACACAATTGCTATTGCATTAGTTTCTGGACCTTCTTTATCATTTATTTCAAATGTGTCATTAATTCTTCAATCGAATGGAATAAATAATTCAAGAATTGAATTACTTACTGGTATAACATCACTTTTTCATGCAATAGGAATCTTTTTATTTTGTTATGGAAGTGATTTATTAGCAAAGTTTCATATTAACAAGTTGATGATTTTGAGTTTTTTATCATTTATATTATTAATCCTTTTCTCATTAGTAGTTCTTTTACAAAGTTTTGTTATTGAAGTAATTACATGGATTATACCATGGTTTGTTGGAGGTATTCTTGGGGTAAGTCTTTCATTAATTTCCGAAAGATTTGGAGTAAATAACTTTGGGTTCAATTTAGGAATAACATTAACAGTTGTTGCAGTTAGTAATATTTTTATTTCAATCATTTCAGGAGTTTTTTATGATGCTTATATTAAATCTGGAGATTCAATTTGTACTGGAGAGATATGTTTTCATTATACTTTTATTATTTCAGCTGGAATGGTTGTTTGTTCTTTCATCTTATTTTCATTCCTTGTAGTCAAAAAATTTTTTACAATGAAACGTCAAAAATAAGTTCATGTTCTTTATCATTAGCATTTATATTATGTTTTTGTATTGTTTTTTATATTTTAAAAATTTCATGTAATAAAAAAGAATGAATTTAATTAATAAAATTCTAAAACAATAATTCTTTGTACTGTAAATGTTGAATCATTAGAGCCTACTAAAGCATTTTCATTCATTGCAAGAAAAGAAGAAGAAATATTATGTGACCAACTTTGTTTTAACCATGTTTTAGCAATTTCAACAAAACCATTTCCAGTAGTTTGACCAAATGAATATAAAACAGAACTATCTCGTTTTATAGAAATAGCACAATTAATTGACTTTTTAATATTCCATTTTTTTGGAACACTAATAATTCGTTTAGTTTTAAGTAGAAAACAAAACATAGAATCGTCATGTTCTTCTGAATCAAATTCAGTAATTTCTTTTGAAGTAAAAACACCAAATACATTTTCATTTTCATCAAAATTAAAAAAACAAATATTTGGTTTATTCATAACATGTTCACCAAATGATTTACCTGTTTCTTCTTTGTTAATACTTCTTTCAGAAAGAGAATCATAAATAACTTTGCATTTTGATAATCCAACCCATTCAGTAATAGTTTGAGTAAATTTACCAATAACATTATATTGTTCTTTAGTTCCAATAAATGGTTCAATATTATTATCTTCTTTTAATTGTTTTTCTTTAAGAATTTGTGAAATATTTTCTTTTTTTTGTTCATCAATTTTAGTTGTTTGAAGAGGTTTAAATTCTGATTTTTTATTTGGTGAACGAGGAGTAATAGGAAAAGAAGATGTATTAGTTATTTCTTTTATTGGTTGATTTTTATTTTCTTTTTCAGGAGAGATATAATCTTGTTTTGAACTTGATATATTTTTAATATAATTTATTAGTTTTTTAATATTATCATTAATTTTAGCAAATTCTTCTTGGTTGTTTTTAGATGTGTTTTTAAGCGAAATAATTTCTTCATTATGTCTTTTTAATATCTCTTTTATAGTTTTTATTTCTTCTTGTATATTTGAATTTTCTAATAAAAAGACTTTGTATAAAGTCATTATTACTACTTTTAATGTTTTCCCATCAATTTTTTCATCATCTTTAATAACTTGTAAAATATCTTCTACTCTTCCCATTATAAATACTAAAAAATAATTTTTAGTTCTTTTAATAATTTTTAATAATTTCAAAGAATTTTCGAAACATTAATAAAAAAAGAAATAAAAATAAAATAAGAAATTATAATTACAATAAATTCAAAATACAGTTTTAGTCATAAAACAAGCAGAAGAATAGTTTTGTTCATTAACATCAGTTATTCTATAAATTCCTTGAGAATAATATTCAATATTTTTTTCATTCATTTGAATTTCAATTTGGATTTGGTGTTGGAAAGTAACATCAACTTGATTATAAATTGATAATAAATATTGAATATTATATTGAGCATTTTCAATGTTTTGAAGATAATAATTTCTTATTATTTCATTATTTTGAATAAAAGAATTTGATTGAATAGATTGAGTAATAACATTTTCATTAAATGTAACACTACTTTCACCAGAATTAGTATTACCAGAATTAGTATTAGTAACTTCTGATTTAGATGACTCTGTAATTATTGTTTCATCTCCAACCCAATTTTCAATAAATGGCATTGATGTATCTTTAAGTCTCCAATAACCAGAAACATGATACTCACATTTTCCTGATTGGAAAAATCGTGAATGATTAATAGCATCTAACATACTTTTTCTCCATCTACTTCCTGTACCAAATTGAGATAACTGAGACAAAATAGACCAATGACTTTGAATAAAATCAGGAACATCAGTTTTAACTGAAAAATAAATTTTAGATGGATATAATGTCATTAATGAAAGATAAAATATACGAGCTAATGAAATCCATGGAACATATCTATTTTGTAAAATAACTAATTTCATTTTACATAATAAACATGTACATTCTAATTCTTGTTCTTGTTTTACAGCTGTAGTTTCTATAAGAGACATTAAACTTGAATGACACATTTTAGTTCTTTTTCCTTTATAAGTAAAAAAGAATATTCTTGATGATTTAACTCTCACTGAATGGTTTATTATTAGTTTCTTTGTTATATTTATTTGACTTATATAGTTCAAAAAAAATTGATCTCTAATTGAAATGTTCTATTTTTAATTAAAAAAATTGAATTCTAATTGAATTATTAAAACCCTGATTCTATTTTCATTAAGGGTTTTTCTTTAATGAAATTCAACTTTCGGGAAAATATTCAAATTATTACATTATTTTCCTACTTCTATTAAAAAAAAAGAAAGAAAGAAAACAAAATTATTAAAATTTGTAATTTCTCATGAAAAAACTTCTTTACATATAAATAATATTATTGAGTTACTTCTTTATTTCCTAATTATTTAAATAAAAATTATTTATAATAAATAAGAAGATGACGTGGCTATTTTACTTCTAAAAAATTTGTTTTGTGTCAAATATGTTTTTAATAAGTGTTAATGATGAAGATATGATAATTTAAATAAGATATAAAAAAAGTTAAACCTAAATATACATTTTCAGTTACTTTTAACAAAAATGAATTAAAACGCAAAAGAAAAATCATTCTTTATTTTGTTGAGCAAAAACTCATACAAAAAACTAAAATAAAAATGATACTTTCTTATGATTTAATTTGTTATGTTGAGATAGACTTCAAAACGATAAAACCAATATTATATATTCACTTCTCTTCATATTCTAATATTCTATTAAATAAACTATTAAATAAAAAAGTGAAGTAATAATTAACTGTAGATAATATTTTTAACAAAAGAAATACTTTGTTTATCATTTAATTTTTAATGACAATTTTATTTATTACTAAACTAATACTCTAAACTCGTGAACATTTATTGAACCGTTGAATTAATTATTTGTCTATTCACAAAAGTCAGAGTGATAAATTGCTAAATATTTTCATTGACTTTTGAGAATAAAATAATTTCTTAAATTATTTATAATAATTTATTTTTTAAA